TATTTTTACAAAAAAAAAAGAATCTAGTGCGGGAGAAAATAGTTCCAATCAAGCCAACGGAGACGTAGAGCCAATTCAGAATGAGACCATTTCGGTGAACGAGCAATGTATTCATGTGCCATTAAAGATGTATGAGCAAGGCCATCGAGAAATTCAATATAAGCGAGAGCCAGACGAAGAGTGTCAATTTTCGAGAGACGTTTTTCATATGGAAATCTTGGAATATGTGAACGAAGTTCAGCAAAAGCCGCATTCAAATGAGATAATCGACGGTCGGTCATTTTGTTAGTGGAGAAAATTGGTTATGACTACTAAAAAGAAAATGAGAAAGTGAATAGAAAATAGAGAATATTGCTCACACAGCATGACATATTTCAATTGCAGTTCAAACGACACACCGGCATTCGTTGTCTGTCTATAAAAGAAGCTTCTTTCTTTTTTCTTTGCAACATTCACTGTCTTGCTGGTGACATTATTTTAACGAGCTTTTCTTTTCTTTTAATGAAACTATCACTCTCATATGATGAAATATAAACGCATTTCTTTTTCTGACGGTAAAATAATTAGCAAAAAACTTAAATCTCTAATAAATTTTTCTGAAACGTCATTTTGCACAATAAATTGCCGCCAAAAATAGACTGAACTTATTGAATGAATCAAATGATTTTATGGATATTTCTCTTAAGTATAAAGCAAACAAATATTCAAAATGCTGGAACATAAGAAACATCGATGGACTATGCACATATATATACGAACGGTTTTGAAATAAGTATTGAATTACAATTAGAAGTCATCTTTTTTTTTTGTTCATAAGAACAACGAAAGTTACTATTCTTCTAGTAGTTCGTTTGCATTTTTACCAGAATGATTTTACAAATAGTTTATTCTTCATATGTTAATGAAAGAAGGATGTAGGCTTTTATTTGACTTTGTTCAACGAAAAATGGTCATGTCGAAAAATACGTTATTGACATTAATTTCTTCCATTAAAGAAATATGAATGTTAGTAGTGTTCAACATAAAACCAATAATTCTCATGCTGCGTGACTATAAGTATAACTAAATCCATATAGATTTACGGAAGTCATACACAAAAATGTACTACTGCAATTTATACTCTTGAAGAATTTTGTATAAAAGGATCGTTCATTGAAGTGAAATATTTACATACTATACAACAATAAAATTTGTTTTAGAAGACTTTGCCAGTAAGTCTACTTTTGTTTAATAGTTGGATTCGGGAAATATAAATCGATTGAGGGAAAAATATTCAATCCTCGTTGCAAAAATTGGTAATATGTCTAATGTTTTCTATTTATTCTTCAAATAATGATCATTTCATTATATATGTATATTAAAGATATATTATTAATCATTCAGTCTAGTCGATAACGTTTTAGTCTTAAAGAGCAAGAGTTAGTTGAAAATCTGAAAATTTGTATCAGGTAGTAATATGTGGTTGAAAATGATATTGCCCATATTGCATATTTATTCGCACTATAGCTTGTATGCAGTGGTGCTCATAACAACTGGCTGTAGCACTTAAAACTTTCAGTTCTAACTATAAACGATTGCAGAATGGTTTTTTATTGAAATTCGAATTATTTATTTAAAAAAAACTCAAATTAACAGAGAAGAAAAGTTTCAGAATATATCATACTAATAAAAATTTTCTCAGCGCTATCTATGATGAAAATTTATCTTATAATTAAAGCCGATTTTGGCTCTATAATTAGTACAGACGGATTAAGCGCATCAACTCTGTCACTGTACCTCGAAAACAACTCAATTCTGCCAGTTTTAACAAATTTTTTAAAAATCGTCGGTATATTGAAAGTAGTTTTATGGTAATTATTACATGAGTGATTATCGTAACTGTCTCGTTATCACTATCAGCTTCATTTGAATTCTTGGAATAGCAATGTGATACTTTAGATGGTGATGGTTCTGCTAAGATCATTCAGGAATTAAATAGCTCCTTAGGTTTGAATACTATTCGTGAAACTGGTTCTATCTAATTGTCAACTTCGTCGCGTACACCACGTATTATACTTGAGCTGGTAAAATGATTCAAAAGGTCAATCATAGAGTGGAAAAAGAAAAGCAAGTGTCAATTCGAAGTTTGTCTACGAAATATGGCATATCAAAATCAAGCGCTGATCGCTTACTAAAATATAAGCTAAAACTCCATGTCTATAAGAAGATAACTGCACTATGCACTTACTGAAGAGCAACAATACAACCGAAAAAAATTTGCAATCTAGATCGAACAGAATTTTTCAAAAGTGAACAGGGTGTAGATTTTATTTTCAAATGAAAAATCGTTCGATATTGATGTTATATAAAACTCCTAAAACGAACGAATTTGGACGGCGAATCATGCTAAAGCAAATAAAAGACACCAAATTAACAATAAACGAAAGTTTCCTCTAAAATTCATGGTCTGGTTAGGTCTTTTTGAAGAAATTTTTATAAACAATCAAACACTTGGATGCTTAACTTGTTTTCTGGTGATTACAACAACTGTAAAATGCTAAGTGAAACAGAAGAGTAGAAAAATAGCAAACGATCGATTAAAAGCAGTTTTTACCCTCTACATTCTTATTTGTTCTTACATCTAAAGCAGAGTTTTCAGTAAGCCACTTTTTCTCTGATTTGGCCTAGGTTGGCTCAAAATGTCTTTAGATCAATTGAAGTTTCTGATCTTTCCAATACATTTATTTCTATAAAACTGCATTTATGAATCATTCGTATTTCAGTTATTTACTTAATTTATTTCCATCAAGATAAAATAATAACAAGTTCTTGCACGAAATAGCAAATTAATAGAAAGAGACAATCATCATAAATATTGTTCATACAAAAAATGCATCAGAATTTATCCCATATTTGTATTTATTATATTAGTTCTGTTTTACATAATCGAAAAATATATTATCATAAAAATAAAAACAACAAATGATCAGACATATAACGAAGAGATAAAATAAAGTGTACAACGAAAATCTAGACTATAAGTCATAATAACAAGCAAGAACATTTAGGCAGAATGATAAAAGATTTATCTGCAGTATAACTATAAGGCTACACTGTGATCCTCGAGAATAAATAAATAGAAAAACAATCAGATATGCCATTGATTTTAGTCATAAAAAAATATAAATAAAATTGTTTTCACATCATTCGAAAAGTTCGCTTTTTACAGATCATGCTATTACTATTATTGTTAAAAGAACTTATAAAAATCATTTTGAAATTCAAATTTTACTATTTGAACAGAAATATTTGTAATACAATGGTAATAAATTCTTATTTCCCTCCTTTTGTCTTTCTGATATAGTTTAATTTAATTTTTTCCAACATTTCTTCTTTGATATTTTTTTTTTGCTGTTTAAACGATTGATTAAAAGAGTCATTATTCCATCACATTGTCTTCATTATTATTAAGTTAATGATGATAATCTAAATTGAACTAAACTATTATTTTAATGAACTTAAATATATCGAATCAATTCAAATTTTTGTTCTTAAGTATTATTCATATTGTCATTATTTTTATCTTAAATTCAGCATTATTTTCTTAATTCCATAATTAACAATTCTTCACAATTTGTTATTATCTACTCAACTATACATTCTTGTGTTCTATCAGATAACAATCAGACTTCTACGAAGTCAAGAATTACAAACAATTTTATGGCTTATAATAACGATGCAATTGAATATTATACGTATTATATTTGTGAATATATTTTCATTTATATTTTTTTTAAATAAATTCTTTATATAGATCATTAAAATCTTCTATAAATGAAATATTCGATATAAAATTGAACGAAACAAAACAACGATTTTATGATATAAAACGAGATCCACATATTGAAATAATTAATTTTGAAGCAATTATTGAAAAACGACCAACAGAAATTGATGAAACATCAATACGTGTTCTGAAATATAAATCACCATCTTTTATGTAAGAAACTAATTAATTATCTTGAAATTAAATCATATATACGTATATATATAGAGCAACAGTTAGTTTTCGTTTTCCACCGATTCATTCGAATGAATGTTGGAAAGTAGGCTTTGTCCAAGCATGTTCGTATTTTATATGTATATATTCTTCTAATCTTATATATATATTTCCAATAGGTGATTTTATGTTATTTCATAACCAATATGGTGATCTTGGCTAGTAAGTAAGTCGTCCTATATTCTTAATAATAATAAAAAAAAAACTTTCAAAATTTTTTTCTCTTTTCATAGTTCATCATGGGAAGTATGTGCAAAAATAAAGTATTTCTTTAAAATGCTTTGTTTATTATTAAACAAATAAATAGTTTCCACAATTGGTTGTTCGTGATGCATCAATGATTAATGATAGTTGTGGAAGAAATTTTCCATGGTATGGATCAAAAAATCAAGGTAAAATAAATAGAACTAAACCTTTACTTAGTAAAGTATATGAAATCTTTAGTAAGTTAAATAATTGTAAAGTTAGTAATTGAAGTGGTTTATTAGTAAATAAAATTTACCAACAGTCAATTGAGTCAATAACTAAGTATACAAGTTGAAATGTATCATATTGTGATTCACTTTTTTCTTTGTTCCCTTATAATATGTAGTATAGATGCCATAGACAACATGCACAAGGATATCTGAAGCAGGTGATTTCAAGCAAAACTGAACACGTTTCTCCGCTTTTTTCTGCTCACCCATTGTCGTAATAATGGATCGATCCCTTTTCCTCTCCCTTCAATCTTACTGATCTTGGGACATTCCTGAATATCTCTGTAGGTACTGTTTGCTCTTATCTTTTGTTCCAAAAAAACTTACCAAAAAAAAAAAGAAATTAAAATATCAGGTTGATGAGACCAACATTCGATAATGTTGGTGGAGCGAGAACATTCATTCGATACAAAGTGGTCAAAACATGATTAAAAAATATACAGCAAAAGGAAGAACACTTTAGACTACAAATCTAAAAAAAACCAAGCGTCATAGATCTTTATGCAGAGTAAGCATTTGTCACGCAGATAGTCAAAAAAAAAAACTGTTTGTAAAACAGAAAACTGAGCATGATGATCATCGGAGTGTAATATGCATCAATTGAAAAGTCATTCAAACGCACATTCATACTTTATGTTATACGGAAAATTCTACTAGTCAAATCTACTAAGATGAATTCAAGTCTTGACTATTTGATCTTTATACTAATCAATTATATATTTTTAGTAGTGACAATTCAAGGTCCACTCTATCGACAATCTGAATATACAATAAGTATGCGTGATTTATTTGTACCATGGATTCCATGGTAAAGAACAAATAAAAAAAAACTAAACAATAGATAAAATTTTTTGTTTCTTTTCAGGGATATTCCAACATGTGAAGGTGAACAATCATATTTAACACATATTTATCGACATCAACGATTTTATGTATGGTTATGTGCAATGAATTGTACGAAAAATGAATTATTAATAATTCGTACAATACGTTGGACACAAACAATTGAAATTGATATTAAACCTGATCTTTATCGTGGAATGCGAGCTAAACTTATAAGTAATCCTGTACCAGATCAACCTATTTTTCTTAAACGAAATATATTTATTCCATCTTGTGCTTTACAAGAACCATCAGTAATATGATTAGTTATTTTGTTAAAGATTATTTTCTTTTTTCTTAATATTTAGGCAAATAATGCTCAATTACTTATATGGCGACCAACAAAAGGTGATCCAATTGTTGTCGTTAATTCAAAACATCATGATACTAGTACAAAAAAATATTTACATCTTTTAAACAATAATATATAAAATATTTTTATTTCATTGGTTTATTAATTACAAATAAGAATTTATCTTTAGATAAATATATTTTTTTATTTCGATAAAAAAAAATTCTTTACTTTTTTTTTATCTTTGAATATTTTCTTTATTGTTTTTTAATAAATTTTTTTTCAATACTATAAAATCATATATAAATTTAATTTTAAGAATTATAATTGGATCATTTGATCATGTGTCAGAAATGGAGGTTAAGTTCGACCATCATGGCTACGAAAATCAAAAAGATTAAATCCGATTCGCGAGAGCGGCCAAGCGCGTTGTTGTATTATTCTTTTAGAATATATTCTATTTGTTATGTCTTCTTTAAATATGATTGAATGACTATTTTTATAAAAAAATTTTCGATTAATTTTCTTTGATTTCTTCTTCTTAAAGTCATCTGACGACCTCTGTTCTATATATAGTCCATATTTTCTTTTGTGTTCAATAAGAAAGAAAGAAAGAGAAGGAAAAAAAAAATATAGCAGAATTTTCTTATTTCAGATGCGAAAACGACATTTTCAATAATCTTTTTTTTTTAATTTTGTCGTCATTTCGACTCTTGTCTATTTGATTTTTGTCTTTTGTGTAAGTTATTATATTTTTATTATATTTATTAATTCTATTGTTTTATAATCATAGTTTATAATGATTATTGAATATTAATTAATATAAAATGTCTTACGAATCGACTAAAACTAGTACAAATTCAAGTGGTGGTGGTGGTGAAACAATGACAAGTGATATGTCATCACAATCAGCAGCAAATAATTTTTATTCAAATAATAATAGAACACAAGCTATGATTATGAATCCTATGATGGGTAGTAATAATTATTATAATGGACCACCACAAGGTACACCTCAACAAACTCAAATGCCATATCGTCCTATGTATCCACCATATCCATCAGCACCTCCTCATCATCCTCAACATCATCAAATCGTAAGTATTTGTTTTGTTTTGTTTTATTTATTGTTTTTTTTTTTTGTCAATCATTTCTAAACGAAAAAAAAAAAAATAATCATAATAATTTTAATAATGAGAAAATCTATCTACAACAAATATTATTCAGTTATCACCATTTGATACATACGAATCACGTACAAGTGGTTATTATTCACCATATACTCATGATACTGGTGTTTATGAACATCAGCAACTGTCATCAATAGGAAGAACTTATTATGGAAATTATGGCGAAAATCAAGTTGAGGTAGTGCACCTTTGTGTGTCAGTCTATATATATACAGATATATATATATCTTTCGTCTAACCACTATATTTATTCCTTATTTTCCTTTGCACGTGTGATAAATAGTAAAATATTGTTGTTGTAGGAATTGACAAACAATAAAAAAAAAAAGAACAGAATTAATTTTTAAGCTTATTTTTTTTCTTTCTTTTAGTCATCACCATATCCTTCAAAAGATGGTTGTTTACCATCATCAACAAATAATAATACAGATCTGGTATGTAATATTTTGTTATGAAATAGATAAATTTACATTTGTGTACGATATACTTTGTTATGTTTTCTGTATTTTGTTTTTTTTTATACATTGAATGACATAAGAGATTACTGTAATCATAGTGTAATAGAAAGGTAAAAAATGACAAATGTAGTTTAACAACTTACCTTTTCTATTATAAACGTCAAATATAAATTCTATATGAATACTAAACAACTAAGTCTATAAAAAAAAAAAGAAAACATATGGAAAGAGAAAAGCGTGAGAGTGAAAGAAAAAAGACATACAATGATCATTATCAAATAACCTTGATTTGTTTTTTCTTTTCATCATGATCATCTGTCTTACATGTTATTTTTTATTTTCTACCGGGTATGTTTTTGTTGTTGTTGGCATGTCAAGAGACACCAATTTCCCTCTTTTTTTCTCTTTTATATGAAACAGCTGATCTCATCGACGACCACATACATTGAGTGTTCTTTAATTGGACATTTACAAATGAGAGTGGGGCGGGGTGAGAAACGAAAGAGAAGATTGCCAAAAGAGAGAGAGAGAGAGAGAGAGAGACATGAAGAAAGAGAGATACGGTTGATTTGTATGAATGAATGAAGAAGGAGTGGGTGTATGTGCGTAAAGAGATTTTCATTCATTACCATCTGATCGACATACAACACGTCGTGTGTTCGGCTGACAAGTTTACTTTTTCTCTTGTCAAAAAATTCTTGTCCGGAAATATGCTCATGATTTGAAGAAGTAGTAGAAAAAAGAAAGATCTATAACGACAATGTCATCTATCTTTGTCATAAAGAAGAACAATTAATTGAATCACCATTTTTATAAATAGATAATAAATTTCTAATTTTCATTGATTGGTCTTTTAGAATGCAACTGATTCAACAACAACATCACATGATCAACAACAACAACAAGGTGGTAATATGCCAATGGCAACAGCACAAACACCACCGGGTAAAAAACTGCATTAGAAACAAAGTTTTTTTTTTTGTTTGGTCTATGGCTCATAAAAAAAAAGAAAATGAATTTAATTGTTATTATCATTATTTCTTTTGCTATTATCATTGTATTTCATCTGCAAGAACAAGAATGTATAATATCAAACTAAATTCAATGCATGTCGCTCTCGTTCTTCTGTTTTGTATTGCATACCCTACAATTTTTGTTCCTTTTTTTTTGGTGTATGTGCGCTAGCACTCTGTCGCATTCCATTCTAATATTGCTTGAAGCCTCCGTTTTTTTTTTGACTATATGCGCATGTCTTACTATTTCTAAGCTAAATCGTTATGATTTTTGTTCTAGGGAATAGCAACTATAACAATTCCTCCATGATGCCACCGCCTCATCCAGCATCAAAGCAACAACAGCCATATGCCAACTATTCACAACAGCAAGGTTTGTCATTAGAAAAAAAGAAACGAGAAAAGAAAGAACGACGGTTTTTCAAAAGTAGTCTCTTCATCTTTATTCTTTTGCTTCTTCTTCTTCTATTCATTTGCCCTGCTTCTGCCTTCATCATCGTCGTTAGTGTGTCGTCGACGTCGTCGTCGTCGTCGAGCAAATGCATTGCAAAGAACATGATCGTTTTTTTTTTCTTTTTCTTTTTTTTTGCGCGTTCTACTTTTCCTTTTTGCCATCTATTCATCGACGACGACGGACAGGCACAGGCAAGCTGGTTGCTTGCTTGATTATTTTCCTGTTCCTTTCTCTTCGTGCATGCGAGCGAACGAGCGAGCGAGCAAGCAAGCAAGCAAATGCGCGCTCGTCCTATAGCCCCGGAGAATGAAACAACAAGCAGCAGAAGCATCAGCAGTACAACGAGATGTTATGTGTGTGTGTGTGCCTGTCATTTACCGCCATCGCTTTGCACACTCACATATATTGAGAATAGAATAGTGGCGACGACGACCACCACTACTACTACTACATAAAGAAGTTTCATTCTTTTCTTTTCTCCCTCTTTCTCTCTCTCTCTCTCTCTCTCTCTCTGTTTCTTCTCTTTCTCTGTGCTTTCGTTCGTTTACTGCACTGCTGATGTTGTGCTCGCTGTACGAGCATCTCATTGATGATTATTAAATACAAGAAAAAAAAAAGAGCGCCACATGCATTGCTAGTTTTATTGTATTTTATTTCATATTATAGGCGACATGTATACTAGAACATCAAATAGTGGTAGTGCACCTCAATATGTTCCTCAATATTCACAGTATCCACCTGGAGCAATGATGAATCCTCGATCACCAGCACCTAATACAAATGCATATCGACAACCATATTCATCGGGATCACCATATCAAAATGGTATAGCAGCATCATCACCATCAACGACATCAGGCAAACCTGCATCTCGTCCTCAACAAGTTTCACCTAAACGCTCAAATTCACAACCAACAACACCACCACAACAACCACGTTATCAAACACCATACCCATCATATTCAAATGGACCAGTTGCATATAAACCAGGTGGTTCCAATGGTTATGGACCACCACAACCACCTCCACAACAACAATCATCATGGCCTCCACCACCAGTACAACGTGATGTTGTTACACCAGGTTTAGCTAGTAGTACTGGTGATTCGGATTCAAATTCAAGTAGTGCATCACAACAACCGGTATCATATCCATCTTCAGCAATGGCAAATGGTCCAACAACAACAGGTTATCCACAACAACCTTCATCTTCATATAATACTAGTGGTAATGTAAATGATTCAACAAATAATACTATGAATTCCAGTGGACATACCTATATGGATCAACAATATTCTAATATACCTCCACCAAATTATGGATATCCTCCACAACAAATGAGTAAATCAATTTAAAATTAATTGTTGTAAATATATATATATATATAATTTTTTTTTGTCTTTCAAATAGATCCATATGTTAATCATCCAGCACAAATGCATGGTCAACCAACAAATGAATTTCGTCCTCCACCTATGCAATCAATGGAAGATGATACTAATGCTTATCGTAATAAACCATCATTAGGAATGATGATTGATCAACAACAACAACAACAACAATCACATCATCCGCCTCTACTTCCTTCGTCATCATCATCTCAAACACAATCTCTATCATCATCAACAAATGGACCAAAATCACCTAGTGGTACAAGCATGTCATCATATGTTCCGGATGATGCTGATTCAAGTAATTCAAGTTTTCCTGATAGTCCACCACCATCACAAGAAAAAGGTCAACAAAAACGTAAACTATCATCAGCAACATCAAATGCACATAGTACACCAGCTGAAGTATTTACTAAATTACGTGATATGGGTGATGAATCTGAACGGCAAGAACGTCATTTATTTGTTGATCGTTTACAAAAATTATGGGAAGAACATCAAATAGTTTGTCGTAATTTACCAACTATATCAAAACAAACAATTGATCTCTATCGTTTATATACATGTGTACGTGAACAAAATGGTTTTCAAGAATTTTCAAAAGTAGCTAAAAATCGTCATTGGCGTGAAATA